TTTTTCGCATAGAGTTTTCTAAAGATTTATAATGATGCACGGCGGATCAGTTTTAACCGAACAACTTTAGCTTTTTTCACAGCACAAGTTCATAGCAAATTTTTCACAGCTCAAAGCTTACTACAGTTTTTTCATATCTCACGTCTTAAAACAATTTTTTCACAGTTCATAACAGTTTTTTCGAAGCTCGTAACTGAAAGCTGAACCAAACATACCCTCGCTACGCAGCGCTCTGCGCTACGAAAACGCCATCGTAACAATGTAGGCTTCTCCAAAGGACAGCACCAACAAAAAGCTGAAAAAGCGGGTGCACATCACTTGGCCAAACCGCAGTATCCAATCGTCGTACAAGACAAGGCGCTGCAACACAGGATAAATACAAGACATCCCAGAACTAAAAATACATATTCTCTTGGTAAAAAAATACGTCCTGTCCAGATTCGAATTTGTTTTTTTTTTACAGAGGAAGTATACCAAAGAACTTCATAGCTGACCGTTCGTCCTATTCGTTTGGATTTGTTTAGACTTATAAGCTATAGCTAAAAGTATCGTTGATTAGTTTAATGTAAGAGAAAAATATTTAAGTCATGACTTATAACCCAAATACAACCGAGCGCCGCCCAACGTCAAGGGGACCACTAGCAGCGAGAAGACTGCTCTGAAGGTCAGCTCACTCATAGATCTCGCCCACGCCATTCTCTGACATCCCACGTCACATCGCTTCGCTCGCCTCAGCACTCACCTGCAACTGAAGCGCAGGCAGACTCTAGGGCCGAAACCACGGCCTTGAAACCACATCTTCCATTGATGGACGGTTGGAAATCACGAGATGAATCTTTTGAGCTTAGTTGGTCCACGATTGGACAATATTTACCAAATAAGATGAAAGTACTACTATTCATCGGGTTGAAATTTTTTTCAATCTAAACAAGGCCCACATCTTCCATTGATGGACGGTCAACACCCTTCGGAGAAACACACTTGAAAGATGTTTCTCCCAACTTTGTGAAACACTTTGGATCGATTGTTCCCTTTATGGTCTTAGTTGGATGTATGTGTATCTATCTCAATCCACATATATTGAAATAAAATTTAGTTTAATTTTATTTTAATCCACTTCGACATATATGAATTAAGATAAATACATACGCATCCAAACAAAGCTAGAGTCAATCAAATTGAAGTCCGTCATGCAACTACGTGGCCAGCCTTCCAAGCCATACGAATTCCATTCACTTCCCAGTTTAAAATGACGCTGAGCGCATAGCACCTCAAGCAACACAGCACCAAAAGAATAGACATCTGATTTCTCTGTTAATTCGTGCACAGGATCGCGAGCGTTATGATCCTCAGTCTTTATCCTTGTCAAGGGAGGATCAGTCACTTGGTAACCTGTAATTTTGGCTACCAATTCCTTATCCAGGACCAGGAGAATATTCTCCGGGCTGAAGTCGCGGTGGATGACAGAGGATGCCACGTGTGTGAAGGCAGTGCAGGCCACGAGCTGCACCGATGCTGATCTCCAGACGCTGCTTCCAGGTAAGTGGATTTAGGGTCGCGAAAAGGTGCTCACCTAGGCTTCCTTGATCCATGTAGTTGTACACCAGGGTCCTCTCACCATTCTTACCACAATAACCAATAAGTGGCACGATATTGATGTGGTAGAACTTCGACCTGTCCTGTACATAAGCACGAAAGAAATCTTTATTACACCGGTGCCACCAACGCTCTACAGTCACCATGGTTGCTCCATCATCGATCACTCCACGGTAAAAATCTACCAAAACCGCCCTGACCAAGAAGCTGCGACTCATCGAAGTTCCCTGTCGCAGTCACTGTCTCTGCAGATGAGAAGCGGCGGTACGGGGGTGACACCCTAGCAGTAGGAGCGAAGTTCAGGAGTGTTCGGCTGAGTAAGTTCGGCTTGTTTTTTTTCAATCGAAGCAGTATTTTTCTCTCATGAAATTTTAGCATAAACAGTGTTTTCAGTATAAACCGTGCTTATTTCACCGGCTGAGCTGGCTTGGTCTTCCTTGCCCAATAGAAATATTCCACACTCTGCTTTCCCACAAGTGAAGATTTCATTGCTTTGGCAAGACGTTCTACCACATGTTTCATCCCAAGACGTTTTTCCCTGTTCATCACCAGGGCCCAGGTACTGAGCTGCTAGCTTTCCCACCTCATCAAGAATTTTCATGCTTCTCCAAGGATCTAATTCGGAGTCAAGAAACTTTCTCGCATCTTTGATCCTGCCTCTCTCATGAGCTTCAGAAAATATAGTAACCAGGCTTGCTTCATTATCTGCTGTTACCTTTTTTTTTTAGGTTTTTTTCACTTTTTCCTAGTTAACAATTCCAAGAGGACAACTCCGAAACTATAAACATCACTCTTCGCAGTGAGACGTCCATCCTGAGCAAACAGTGGGTCCATGTAACCTATATGTTGCTTATTACATTCGTCCTGTTCACTTGGTTTATAAGTCGTACCTTTTCAATCAACGAATATTATTTTTCTCTCACAACAAATCAGCCAACAGTACTTTCAGTCATGGCTTATCAACCAAGCGAACAGGGCAATTAGCTATATATATGGTGTCTTTGTCTGTGTTGACTAGCCTTGATATTCCAAAGTATGATAGTTTTGCATTCAGGTTGCCATCTAGAAGTATATTATCAGGTTTGATGTCCCCGTGCATGACCTGAGTATACATGTCAGAATGCATGTATGCCAATGCCTCAGCACACTGTGTTGCAATTCTAAGTCGTATTTCCAAAGGGATGGGAGTGTTGTCATGGTGAAGAATGGCGGCCAGATTTCCATTAGGGGTAAACTCGGTAACCATCATCAGGGCATCGAGAAGAGGAGGAGACACCGAGGCGAGATAGCAAAAGGCGAGGAGAGAGATGCAACACCCGATCTACTTTTAAAACATCTAAATAAAACATTTGCAACATACATTCGAAAACAGTTGAAATACTTGCAACATACGTCTGAACCACTTGTAAAACACCTGAAAACACTTGAAAAAATCATTGCAAAATATATGCAACATCCAGATAAAAACACATGCAACATATGTGTGAAACACGTGCAACATGCAGATAAACACACTTGCAACATACGTCGGAAAAATAACTGAAACATGGGGAACAAAATCTTGCAACATACATATACAACATATGCAACATCTCGATCTACTTTTGCAACATCCACTTGAAACATACTTTTGCAACATGCGTTTTAGCGAATCACGAGCTTGACGCCACGCCGCGGCGCATGGAGCTCGCCGGTGCACCTCTAGGCGAGGACCTGCTCGGCGGCCTGGGTGAGCACCTGCGCGCAGGCAGGGGCAGATCCAGAATTTTCATCCATTGATGTCACTAAGCTATAGTCTTACCATACCTTTATGATCATCTACCGTAATACATTGGTGTTCTATTGGTATTTGTACAAAGTCATTGATTGACATCAATGCTTATAATGTGGATCCGCCCTTGCCTGCGCGAGGCGCGCGAGCACCTGCTCCGTGGCCTGGGCTGCGCACCCTGGGCGTGGCGGAGGACAGGGCTTGGCGCGGCAGGGGACGGAGGCGCCGTGGGGCGCGGGGTATGGCAGCAGCCACGCACCGGAGTGAATTATGTTTTTTTTTTCAAGAACAGGCCCGTTGGCCCATATTTTATTAAGAAAAAATAGAGTTTGTTACACGAAGGATACAATTCGCACTCACTCGAGAACCAAGATTGTTGCCCTACAGTGAAGCCGAATGTATGCAAAACCATATTCTCCGTAGGGAGCCGAGGAAGGAGTGTGTGTGCTCTGCTTTCTAATCGCATTTGCGCTGCATCTGCTGATGCCGCCATCAACAGCCTGCATGTGCCCAAGTCACCAGTCCACTCTGTCGGGAGGCCGAGTCACCTGTGGGCTGTGGCGCACGCTGTTTGAGATGGGCGAGGGCTGTTCGAGTAGCCAGCCGCCGAAACAGAGAAAATAGCTACTCACTCAGTCAAAAGAACAAAAGAACGTAGACGTGGTTTGTGAGGAGTAACCAATCTTAAATAAAAATAATAATAGTTATGATACTTAATAAGCTTATTTATACTGCTTTTTATAAAATTAGCCAAATTTGAAAATATTTTATCATTACTTCTACTATATTTCAGGTGCTTAAATTTTAAAATGATTTTAGGTTACCTTATTGTACAACCAACCATTAAAGCAAATTGTTACTTTTTATGATTTTGTTATTTGTCTTTGTATCATAGCCTATCAAATTTTTGTTCTTATTTTACTATAGAAACAATTGTAAATTGTCGATTGTCTTTGTGCCAACATGGATTAGATTTTGTCGGATTTGTAGTTTTGTCTAACGGGTTTTTTTATTCTTGGAATCGAAAATTACAGATTATGCCTACATAAATTACAACGAAATAAATATGTAATTTTAGTATAAAATATATTCAATAATCATTCACTGCATTCGGCTGGTATAGTTCCAGCTTGTTTCAGCTTATTCTCTCTCACATAATATTATTCAATCATTAAAAAAAATCTAAAAAACACTGTTCACTGGACCACCCGAACGAGTTGATTGTCTGAAATTTAAGCACCTGAATTTTAGCAGGTCCCTTTGACTATACGAGGAGTGAGTAACATCGACTCGTTGCATGTAGGTTTCGTCGGAAATAGGAACGGCCTTGTTGCAGATTTTGGGATTGAATTAGAGAAATGAATTCGAAACAGTGAATCAGAGTTCCTGCGTTCTGTCTCGAAACTTTCATAGCAGTATCTTTGGATGAATAAAAAACAATATACAATTGTACAAGCCAATCAGAGTTTGTAAGTACAGCAGCTAACAAGCTACTTGGCATGACATAGTAATACAGGAATCCTGACCGCACTTTTTTTTTTGCGACGAGAATCCTGACAGCACTGAGAGATCATTACCACAACTCACGAAAACATGGTGAGGTAGTGAGATTAAGCTCGCTGCGTGGTGTTCATCAGGAGCTGCCAGAAGACGACGTTGATAGGTACCACCAGGCCATGGAGTCCGTATTGCTGTCAACCTCCAGGCTCATTGCATCACCTGCCCTGCTGCCACCAGCCTCTGCACTCTCCTGCAACTGAAGTGTGTACTCCAGGTCGGCAATCACATCCGCCATTGATGGCCGGTCAATACTCAGATTAGCAAGACACTTCTCACAAGTTTCGACAAACTTGAACAAACTGTGTGGATCCATCTTTCTCTTTAGGTGACAGTCGACAATCTGATGAAGGTTGCCCTCTTCCTTGCAACGGACCGCCCAGTGTAACAGGCAATCTTTTCCCAGAAATGGCCGGGCACAGAGCACCTCAAGCAACACAGCACCGAAAGAAAACACATCCGATTTCTCAGTTAGCCTGCCGGTAGAGTCGTATTCAGGATCGTAGATATTACCGTGTGCATTGCATATTGTGTCGGTGATTGGATCAGTCTCGATATTATCTGAAATCTTGGCGACCCACTCGTTATCCAGGAGAATATTGACCAGCTTCACGTTGCGGTGGATGATGGCCTTCTCTGCACATGTGTGAAGGTAGTGAAGGCCACGAGCTGCGCCAATGCAAATCTCTAGACGCTGCTTCCAGCTAAGGGGTGACTTCATAGTGAGGGGTGAGTTGTGTGTCTCAAACAGGTGATCACGCAGACTTCCATGAGCCATGTACTCATAAACCAGGATCATCTCATCCTCGTCACAGTAACCAATCATTGGCACAAGATGACGGTGACGAAGCATCGATCTAATCTTTACCGTGTGTCGACACTTCAGACACTTGATAGCCACCATATTTGTCCCGCTGCCATCAATCATTCCACGGTAAACCCTACCAAATTCACCCTTACCAACAAGAAGGGACTTGTCAAAGTTTTGTGTCGCAGCTTTCATCTCTGCAAACGAGAACTTGCGGTACAGTTCCGGAGAGGGAGGTGCAGGAGGCAAGCTCTTGGTGGCCCAAGAAAACCAGCCTCTCCGTTTTTGTCCCTGAAGAGAAGCTTTCCTGAGCCTGCGAAGGCGCTCTGCCACAGCAATCATCTCAGGACGTCTGTCCCTTTCCATCCTCAGGCACTCACCTGCTAGCTTTGCAACCCCTTCAAGAATGTTCATGTTATCTGGGTTAGCGATTTTGTCATCAAAAACCCCTCTAATTTCTCTTGAAAGAGCATCTGTACATAGGTCAATGATGCTGACTCCCCCCACTTTCGTTGTTGCCTTTTTCCTAGTGATCAGTTCCAGGAGGACAACTCCAAAACTGTACACATCACTCTTCACAGTGAGACATCCATCCCGAGCAAACAAAGGGTCCAGATAACCTATGCTTCCTTTTATATTACCAGTGTACAACGTATCATCTGTGTTGACTAACCTTGAAATTCCAAAGTCCGATATTTTGGCACAAAAGCTGTGATCTAACAATATATTAGCAGGCTTGATGTCACCATGGATGACCTGAGTATACATGTAAGAGTGCATGTATGCCATTGCCTCCGCACACTCTGTGGCGATTCTAAGTCGCATGTCCAGTGAAATGTGACCACTGTCACGGTGAAGAACATCACTCAGGTTTCCGTTAGGGATGAATTCAGTGATCATCATTAGAGCATTTTCCTCCATACAGTAACCGATGAGCTTTACTACATTCTTGTGGTTGATTTCGCGATGGACAATCAGCTCTTTAGCAAAATCTTCATCTTTCACATTGTTGATAAACCTCTTCACTGCAACCATATTTCTGTCCTCAAGAACTCCTTGGAATACTTCTCCAAAGCCACCTCTGCCGATCATAGTTCTATAGCTGTTGGTTATGATTTCTACCTCAGATTTTGTGAAACATCTTATGTTATGATTACTATGCACCATCCACCTTGACTTATCAGCCCCTGGGATCAGTTCTTCAACCTTATGTTCTGGAAGATTCATCCTGTGAAATAAGGTAGTAAAGCAGTAAATAGCAGTTAGCTCTGACTGAAATCCTCAATGGTAGCTGTAGAAGATAATCTTGGCCTTTTTTTTACGAATATAGGTTTTTTTATAGATAAACCTTAGTGGTGGTGGTGTAGTGTATATGTGCAGAAGTAGAACTGTACCAGAGATGTACCAGTAATTGGTAATCCCAAACAAATAGATGCCTGTTCCCTCTGCAGGGCTCCGAATATCGTTCCTAAAAAGACAATTGCAGTGGATGTTCAGAGTGCTGACCTGAGAATTGTTCCCAGTCTTATGCAATTCAGTTTTAGTCCAGCACAGTTTAACAATATCAGGTCAACTCAAAGCATCAAAGAAATATCAGGTGATTTATAGCTAGGCGGGTGTTCCATCGACCAACACCGACGTTGTAGTGATTTACGTGGTAGAACACAGATAGGAACTACATGATGCGTTAGAAATGATTTAGCCATAATTCACAGAGCATCTCCTCTAGCTGATTTATATGTTCTGTCTTGTTGGCCTTTTGGGTAGCAACGGGACCATGACATCACTATATGTTCCATTTTCTCATAAGAAAAAAAAAAGGTAAGATCGATCTGACCATTATTGTGGTAAGTAGAACAAGGAAAAAAAATACTATACATATGATGCAGACAGGAAGCATCATGCTCAATCTTTCTTTCTACTCCAGCTAGCAGCTACTGTGTAAGTTTTTGCTTGATCTCAAATAAATATTTGCACATCAACATGAAAGCCCGGGACAACAAAAGAACAAGAATATAATCTAGAACGTGAATTGCATCCAACAAAACGGCGATGTATTGACATACCTGCTGTAGTTACGGATGGAACTGCGGATGCATAAGCGGAGCATGAATCATCTCCACCGAACAGTTGACCCTCGCATCGCCATGGATGGATGGGCCGGGGAGTAGACTAGCTACAGAGAGTTTGTGGAGGACGAAAATAACATATGCAAATGGAGGGTGGCTAACAAGCAAGTCAAGCGTGAACTGAAGGCATTAATTAATTCCATGTCTTTGATGTCATTGTGCAAATTGGCACCCATGGTGTTGGTGGAGTCAGATTCATTGACTTAGCTCTTGTATGAGTCACTGTCAATTCTCTTGCAACGGCTTACGGCTCCCGCGTATGCAAGCATATGAGGAGCCCAGACTTGACGGTTGTGACTGAGGTCCACCGTCGGCCCTTGGCACCCGCCGGCACGTTGTGAGAGAGCAAGTTCCTACACTACGCGTTATAGGCTTTTGTCATGGGGACGGTTTTCACTGTGAGCGGGTCTGACAAAGGGCATTAGGCCAATGAGGCAGTCTGTCGAGCAGGTGATCTGCTCTGGCACTCCGAGTATTGAGTGCGTCGCCGATCGCCCGTCGCCAGGCACCCACCAGCCACCAGTCACCACACCATTGCGCGCTATGCGCTACGCCTCGCCGGCCGCCCGTCACCCGGCTCACCGCCGACGCCGAACGGAAGCCTGCAGCCGCGGACACGCGTGGGCAGAACCAACGAACGCAGGACCGAGCTGGGTGCGGATCCATACGCTTGGCCATGCAATAGAAACTGCAGGGTCGCAGGGAGCCGTGCTGCCGGGCATACAGCGAAGTAGGAAACTTACTTTTGAGGTTAGATGAAAGTGTTGCGTTGCGCGCATGCCGGCATTAGAGTTGGAGCCTTTGAGCAGAGCACCACCTATGGCACTCTCACATCAGCTCTGCTCTCCGCGGCAGGGAGAGGCCGGTGTCCTGCCGAGATGACACAGAGGGAGGGATACATCCTCACAGAAACAAGGGTGAAAAACAATTCTGTAGTGTTTGCGTAATGCGCTAATGTACCATAGTTGGCACGGAGTAACCGTAGAATGCAGTAAACGAATCAATTAGTTTTGCTCCCTCAAACAGAAGCTCCAACTCAAGGCAGTTGGAGATTGCCAGCAGCGCTTGCTATTCATTGGGTAAATAGCACCGATGCATTACAACATTGTCAACATTAGTACCAGCCAGTAGCCCAGTACAGAAATGATAAGCAGGACAGTACAGGAACAGGGAAAACGATCCTATATTGCAAACAACGGAGAGTAATAACAGAACAAACTCGTGGAATCATGCTAATGGGTCATCAGAATTCAGAATCCACAATCACCTTCCCTCATCCATGGCATCGTCTGACATGCAACCGCCATCCTCTTCGCTCTCCAGGTCCCATAGTGCATCTCGCATCGATGGAAGGGCATACTCTAGGTCTGTCCCTGTTCGACTCAAGGACCTTAAAACCGTAAACTCCATGAACTAACGATCATAAAGATTATAAGTTCGACTTTTTTTTCGAAGAGTTCCAAGGGATCCTTACATACGGGACTTAGTTGGTTATGTCAAAGTGTTTTTTCTCACAACATTCAGAAACTTAGTTGGTTATTTGACTTATTTTTTCAGCCAATTTCAAGGAAACAACGGGGCCAATATTATATCCGTGAAGGTAGCACAGGCCACGAGCAACACCAATGCAGATCTCCATGCGCTGAATCCAGTTAAGGGGTGGCTTCCTGGTCCCATAAAGGTGCTCACGTAGATTTCCACCAGCCACGTACTCGAAGACCAGGAGCGTCATCTCCTGCTCATGGAAATAACCAATCAGTGGCACAAGATGACCGTGGCCGAGCTTCGACATAATCTCTATCAGGCTATGGAAGGCACATACACTGTACACATGCGTAACATCCACCAAGGTTATTGCCACCCCATCGATCTTGCCACGATAAACTCGATCAAATAAACCACTATCAATAAGGAGTGACAGTGACTTATCAAAGTTGTTTGTCGCGGCCTCCATCTCTGCAAGCCAGAACTGGCGGCATAGACGTGACGCCAAACTATTGGCACGTTCGCTTGCATCTGCACTCTGCTGCCACTGAAGGGCATGCTCCAGTTCTGAAATCACATCTCCCATCGACGGACGATCAATGCCTTGAGGAGCAACACATTTGAAAACAGTTTCAGAGAACTTGTTAAGAGACCACAAATTAATTCTTCCCATCAGGTATGGGTCAACAATCTGATCAAGATTCCCCTCCTCCTTGCATCGCAATGCCCAGCACTTCAAGTCCTGCAGTTCTTGTCCTTCTTGACGAATTCCCTTATAAGAACGCGCAGAGAGGGTCTCCAATAACACAACACCAAATGCATAGACATCTGATTTCTCAGTAACCACACCGGTATGGTTGTACTCAGGATCGAGGTAACCAAATGTTCCAGTCACCAGTGTCTCGACTGATGTCCCAGTCCTAGAGAAAGATCTGTAATCTTAGTGCTTCCCAAAATTTTGTAAAAGTAGAAAACGGTTGAGAAAAATTTTTCAAGATTCTCCGTTACATCTCGCATCGATGGATGGAGAAATCTTTGACGCAATAACCAATCAGTGGAAGATGACCGTGGCCAAGCTTCGACATAACATGAAGCATTAAATATAAATCGATCAAATAAAAATAAAAGTTGTTTTACACAGTTTAGAGCCAACGAAATTGCATCTGCACGAGCTGCCACTGAAGGGCATTTTGAAGCACATCTAATTAGACTATGACACATTTGAAAGCAGTTTCAGAGAAAACTAATTCTTCCCATCAGGTATGGGTCAACAATCTGATCAAATAACGAATTCCCTTATAAGAACGCGCAGAGAGGGTCTCCAATAACACAACACCAAATGCATAGACATCTGATTTCTCAGTAACCACACCGGTATGGTTTACCAGGATCGAGGTAAAAATTTCCCAGCCTAAGAAAGATCTGTAATCTTAGCAACCCATTCCTCATCCAGCAGGATCTTTTTCATGGTCAGGTCACGATGGATGATCTGTTGTTCGTGAAGATAGCGCAGACCACGAGCTGCACCAATGCAGATCTCTATACGCTGCCTCCAGGTAAGTGGCGGCTTCTGCTCCCCGTGGAGCTGGTCATGCATATTTCCGCTAGCCATGTAGTCGTAGACCAGTATCATCGCATCCTCTTGAACGCAGTAACCAATCAGTGGCACTAGATGACGGTGTCGGTACTTTGACATCATCTCAATCTCAATATAAAATTCATTAACTACGTGCTGTGGAAGCCAGTTAGGATTGTGGTTGTAGATACACTTGATAGCCACATTGGTTTTTCGTCCATTAATCTGGCCACAGTAAACTCTACCAGATCCAACCTCGCCAACAAGGAGTGACTTATCAAAATTGTTTGTTGCAAACTTCATCTCTGCAACAGAGAACTGGCGGCACACGCCTGATGGCAGAATATTAGCCCGGGTGTTCACTAAAGCTGGAGCTGCTGGAATGCTCTTCCTTACCCAAGAGAACAGATCTACTCGCTGCCGTTCCTGGTCCTGATATGATGACTTCCGTAGCACCCGAAGACGTTCTGCCACATCAATCATCTCAGGACGTTTGTCCCTCTCCATCCTTAGGCATTCACCTGCTAGCTTTGCGACTCCTTCAAGAACCTTCAAGTTATTCTTGCTTGTAATGTCAACATCTAACATATCTCTCACACCTCTGACCCCCCTTGCAAGAGCATTACTAAATGCGTAAACATTGTTGACGTTCTCAACTACTGCCTTTTTCCTAGTGATCAGTTCAACAAGGACAGCTCCAAAGCTATAAACATCATACTTAACAGTGAGACGACCATCCAAAGAAAACAAAGGGTCCATGTAACCTATGCTCCCAATTACATTCTCTGTGTACAGTGTTTTATCTGTGTTTAACCTATGCTTACAACCGTCCCATCCCGCAGCGGACAGCACCACGGCGCGCATCGGCGCACCGGCAGTGAAGAAGAACCTACAGATCTGGTTGCACCGGGACGGATTCGGCTCGACGCTGACCTAGCAGGTGTGGAATCCATGGCTGGGATGAGATTTGAGAAGAATGGGAGAGGATCGACAAAAGAGACAAGGAAGAAGAGAGGACAAGCTGGGAGGAACCGGAT